ATATTATTAACTTATTGGAAAAGACTTAAGTGCCCTTATTTAAGTAAGAGGCACTCGAACTAACATAACAGTACACATCAACATTCTCAACAAGTGCAAAGACCAAAATACCCCTTCACTAACACCACTAACACAAATGATCTTTCTTTTCATCACCCGACTCCCATAGGAAATCTCTCATTACCTCTTCCAAGCTACCAACTTTTTTGTGGGTCCGGATGTAGTAGGCACATTAGGTAAGTATAATGAGTGAGCACGTAATAGCTGTGTGACACATGTCCTAGTTAATGCACCTTTCATCCAAACGTTACACGTTTAAGTTTTCCTTTTCATTGTTTTTATTTTTAATTATTTTGACAAAGATAATAGAATAATGGATAATTTCTGTCTAACGGAGCAAAAACGTTTGGATGAAAGGCGCATTAAATAGGACATGTGTCACACAACTATTACGTGCTCACTCATTGTACTTACCTAATGTGCCTACTACATCCGGGCCCCTTTTTTGCACACCTCTCAATAATTGGATTCCAAAACCAGCTTTCTCTAGGGTTTGCTCCTAAAGGGAGGCCAAGGTAGGTCAAGGGCCAGCTAACTATGGGGCAATCTATGATGTAGGTAATAGAGTTTAGTTCCCCTTCCTCTAAGTTGATTCCTGCTACACAACTCTTTTCAAGATTAATTTTTAGATTAGAAACTAACTCAAATTTCCTCACCACTTCCTACAAATTCTTCACCACACCTTGCTCACCCCCTTCATAGAAAATTATGCTATCATCTGCAAATTGCAAATGTGTCACCGAGACCATATCCCTTCCAATCTTCCACCATTTTATTACATTCTTCCTATCAACCGTTGAGATCATTTTGCTAAACATATCAACTACTAGGGTGAACAAAAAGGGTGAAAGAGGACCACCTTGCCTTAAACTTCGGCAAGCTTAGAAGAAGTCTCACAACCCCATTAATCAGAAGAGAGTAGTGACATGAATTAATGCAACCAAAAATCCAATTACACCATCTCTCCCCAAACCCGCAATTCTTCATTATATCAACAAGGAAAGCCCAATCTACTAAATCATAGGCTTTCTCCATATCCAATTTGCATACAAAACCTTTCTTCCTCGATCTTTTCATATCCAACACACTCATTAGCAATAAGAATTTGATCAGTTATTTGTCTCCCTTGGATAAAGGCCCCCTGATTTTGACCGATTATGGCTAGAAGTATTACATTTATTTTCAAAGATAGAACCTTAGCCAAAATCTTATAGATGCTTGTTACTAGGCTAATGGGTCTAAAGTCCTTTGGATGGCTAGCATCAGACCTCTTTGGAATAAGGGCAGGAAAGATTGCGTTCACCCCTTGGCTCACAATAAACCTCTCCGCAAATTCATTGAAGACCTCACAAAGGTCATCTTTTACCCACAACAGTCTTGATAGAAAGCCATAGTAAATCCATCTGGCCCTGGGGCTTTCAATCTTCATTGAAAAAACTGCCTTCCTTATTTCCTCTTCTACAAAGGCTCTCTCCATCCAATGTGCTACTTCAATCTCCACTTGGGTCACTCAAAATCTTCCAATCGTAATCTATCATCCAAGGGCCTCCTAAAAATTGCTTTGAAGTGGTCCACGAAGATCTTGGCAATTTCATCTTGATTTGTTATCTCTTGCCCATCTACCTCCAATCTAGCCACAAAATTTTTCCTCCTCCCATTTTCCAAAGTATGAAAGAATTTTGATTTACTATAACCTTCTTTCAACCACTTACACCTTGACATTTGTCTCCAACTAATCTCTTCCCTTAAAAAACTTCTTCCAAATCTTTCTTAATCCTAAACCTCATTTCTTTCCTCCTCTACCAAGATTCCTCGGGCTTCCTTCTCATCTAACTCCTCTATCGTGGACATCAAAATGACCTTTTGTTCCCTAATTCTCCCGAAGTGATCCTTGTTCCATTCCTTAATTTTCCCTCTCAATCTTTTTAGTTTCTTATGAAATCCCACTCCTTTCCACTTCACCCCCCTTAAACCCTCCCTCCACCAACCCTCCACTTTCTGCACAAAATCTGGGTGTGTGAGCCACATGTTCTCAAATTTGAAAGGGGTGGGGCCTCTTGGAAAGGTTTCTGAACCTAACTTGATAGGACAGTGGTCTGATTGTGACTCTAGGTAAATCTTTAGACACCAAATTTGCTTCATGTGATTTCCAAGCTTCATTAAAGAGAAATCTATCCAATTTTGAGCAGTTGGGAATTTCTTCAAAGTTGGACCAAGTAAAACGGGCTTGCAATAGAGTCACTTCCTTCAGGTCACCTGTTGGTTGGGATTATTTGTTTCATTGGAGAACCTAATCACATTGAAATCCCCAACCACACACCACAGTCCCTCCCAAAGGCCCCTAATGGCATATAACTCCTCCCACATCTCATTCCTTTCCCGATATCTATTTAGACCATATACGTTGGTGACAGCCTAGATAAAGCCATCCCCTATGTTCCGGAATTTCATAGAAACTGAATACCTTCCAATCAGCTCCTCCACCGATTCCACCACCTCATCTTTCCAAATTGTCAAAATTCCTCCAGAGGCCCCACAAGGACTACAAGACCATCTGAAATTCTTGAACCCCAAATACTTCAAATCCACCGTCCTTCCAGTTCTGAAATTTTTGTTTCTTGTAGCATGACAATGTCTGGATTTTCTCTTCTCAACAAATCTTTTATAGCTCGCCTTTTCCTCGCATTCCCCAATCCTCTTACATTCCAACTAATAATTTTCATAAAACCAGTTCTAGAAAAACTCCTTAAGACTATTTGTCTCCTAATTTGGAATTCTCCGTCTTTCCCCTCTATCACTGAATTCTAAATCACTCTCAACATCCGATCATAGTCTTTCCACTTCTGATCTCTTCTTCCTTCTCTTTTTCTTTTTCTCTTCACACTTCTATTATAGATCTTCACCTTATTTGGTTGTTCTTTCTCCTAGTCCTTCCCTTCCTCAAGAGCTCCAGCTGCTCCACCACAGTGTGCCCCTGAATTTACCCCTTCCTCCCCTTCTATCACTATCAACATGTTCCAGTTTTCCTATTCCATTTCCTTCTTATTAAGTCCCGCAAACTCGTTACAAATCAGGCTCCAAATCCTATCAGCCTCCTTTTCAACTAATGAGAGCCCCCAATCCTCCGTCTGCCTTTACACCCTTCTTGACAACCCCACTTCCATCTTCTCCAACTGGTTGGGAAACAGGTGCGATAGCAGAAGTATCTACAACAAGCACAGAGACACAATCAGTACCAAAAAATGAATTGACAATAATACCTGGATTGAGAGGCACAAGGGGGTTCTCTGAAACAGGAGATTGAAAGCCAGTAAGAACCAACTTGGGAACCCTTTCCTTGGACCAGAGCAATTGGCCCGTAGCACTGGGACTCAGGCCACAAAAGTTATTAGAAGGTCCTTCACCATGTTCTCTCTTTGATTCATTTAAGTTTTGTCCAGATGAAGGAGTCGACACCATCCTACATGGCTCCTGGTTTTTGGTGCGAATCTGGTCTAGAGTCTTCCCTGTTGAGAGAGGTAGACCCAACAACCTCAGTAATTGACCGTCGCCTCCTTTGTATCAGTGAATTTAGTAACAACAAACCTAGAATCTTGTACAGCGTCAGGCTGGAATTCCTTGCTAGATAAATCTTCCTCTAAGAGTAGAATCTCGGTATGGAAGCTCTCCCCTTCCAAAAAAAAAAATTGTTTTCCTCAATGCTACCAATACTTGAATCCTCACTAGAATCGTCCAAATCATCTACAGCCGTCATTTGGAGCTTGCAGGATGGCTTCTTAAACTTCGGGTTGCGCCGTTCTAGGGAGCAGACCGATTTTCTGTTGCTAGGAATCCATACCCAGGTCGAAGATGCCGCCTGGTTAGAGGAGCGACTTGCGGCCAGTCGAGGATTGATGAAAGGGGACAATGATGGACCAGTATTATTGTCCATCAACTCCCTACCTTGCCTCGTCACATGCCTGTTTAAAGAGTCATGTGCCTCTAAATCAATATCCAACAAACTGATAAAAATATTAAAGTAGATGTGCTTGAAAATGTAGATGATGACCCACTCCTACAATCCCTAGGATAAAGACTCCAAAGGAATAAACTAGCAAGATGGTCTTCATTTAGGTTGTATTTGGTTTAAAAGAAAAGATAGGAAAACCTAAACAAACCACCTTTTCCTACCTTTTCTTTCAAACCAAACACAAGTTTAGGGATTTAGGGATCAAATCAGATCAAACATGTTTTGTGATTGGAGGAAAATGCATTGGTCTTATTTGATTATGTGTTTAATTAATATAAACTCATTGGTATTGTCACTCATGTGCATGCAATTTGTTGGTGCATTGAACCATTGTTTATAATATTGCATGTGTATTCTTTAATTAGCCTTTTTGAACATATTAGTTGTATTATTAACATCTTCAATTAGATTTGTCAACATCGCATGTGTCATTCAAATTGTATTTGTTAATGAAATGATTGCTGTTTATTTATGGGATGAATGATTTTCAGGGATGGTTGCTGGAGAGGATACTGTGGTTTCATCTATCGGGAGCAAAAAGGATGGTCACAAGGATAAGGATGTCCTATCTATTTCTCACTCTACCTCAACCAAGCATAAAAGAACCCGGCAAGTTCGTTGGAATGATGCAATGGATAAAGCATTGATTGAGTTGCTTGCTAATCAAGTTGCCTCGGGCAACAAAGATGATAAAGGGTTCAAGACATCAGCATACACATATGTTTGCAAGGAAATGACTAATCAATTTGGCATTGAGATGAAAACACCGCACATCAAGAGTAGGATGCGAACCTTAAAGCCTATTTATTTAGAAGCTAAGAAGTTATTAGGCACAAGTGGCTTCAGATGGAATGAATCAAGAAATCAAATTCAAGCAAATCCTGCGGTTTGGGAGCAGTATCTACAGGTAGGTCTAGCATATATTTATGTAATTCTTTCTTATAATAAAATTATTTAGTGAAGTAGGTGGTGATCATGAACTGTACAATGCAGGCCAATCCTCATGCATTTAAAGTAAAGGGTCGTGTCTTGAAGATGTATGATGAAATGCAAGTGATATTGGGAATTGACCAGGTCATGGGTGAAGAGGCTAGAATTGGTATTGAACTTGTAAATGAATTAGATGTTGAGGAAGATAGTGATAATGACATCGATGTTGATATCTATGATGATGCATCTACATCATTGTTAGCTATCGATGAATTCATTAGTGCAATTGATAGGATGAACGAGGCAATGAAAAAGATAGCAGCTGCCCTCACGGTTCAAAGTGATCAAGAGTTCTTCAATGAATTGTGGCATGAGGTCATGAACATGGATGGGTTTGACCCTCAAGATTTGAATGCTGTGTTTGGGTACTTGGGTCAAAATGAGAGGAAGGCCAAAGTTTTTCTTGCTAGAGCTAAGCCCTATAGGGCTCAAATGGTCCACTCCATCATCTCTGAGTTGCCTAGCTTTGGTATGTTGTAGTAATTGACTTAATTTGCATCCTTTTTTTGTTGAATGTTGACTGCTCATAGCCATTTACTTATAGTAATATGCAAACTGCCAAACTACCTTTCTTCCTTCCAGTAATACCATACTTGTATATGTTTGGTTTGCTTTCAAATTGATTGATGATTTACCTGCTTTTAGGGCTGTCAACGGGTCAGTTTTGGGTCAGTTCCAGGTAGAAGTATAACTAATCCCGAACCGACAAGGCAATAAAAGCATGCTGAAAAAGCAATAAAAACCTGCTAAAATGCAATGAAAACTTGCTAAAATACATGCTAAAATATAATAAAAAAAAGTCCCGTCTAAATGCAATCTTTAAAGCCAATCTTTTCGTCTATCCAATCCTACAAAAATATCAAGAATATATTCACATACCTGAATTCAAAGAAAATAAAAATCATTTCTTACCATAGTTTTTAAGAGGCGAGGCTAGGCGACAAGGGGGTGCCTTGTTTCTTAGTTGCCTAAGTAGGCGCCTAGACGTCACCTAGGCAATGGATGTATTTTTTTAAGTAAAAAATATAGATCCTAGGGTAGCTCCCTAGGTACCATAACCATATTTTTTAATAATTATTTATAATTTTCATAAGAAAAATATAAACTTCAAGAAGATATGGAAGAAAATGTGTTGATTAGACAAAATTTTAAGTTCTATCTTACTTATTGGTTTGGGTTAAGTCTTTGAGGGTTCAATGCAACATTTGGCAATGTTTGTATTGATTAAACCCTAGCAAATAAGAAAATAATAAAAAAATTAATTTATAAAAATGAATATTTTAATTATTCATGTCTGTCTTATAATTATAATATCGAAAATAAAGAATAAAAAATATTTTATAATAGAAAGTACAAAATTGTTTGGCAATTAGGCAAGGTGAGACTCCAAGGGCACCTTGACAATTATGTTTCTTACCATTTTCTAATGACCAAACTCCATTATATCTTGTTTTTATTGGTGAAAGGACTTATGAATACATACCCAAGGTTCAAAATATCGCAATGTATTGGGCCGTATCGGCTGATACGTATCGTTCTGACAAGAACCTGATACACGGAAGTATAAATCATTTGTTCCATTTCTTTTCATACATATCGGCCGATACTGGCTCGTATTGGGTTGTTTCGAATCTATATCGACCAATACGAGCCCGAAACAATTTGATATAGTTCAATACGTTTGATTTCGGTTCATCATTAATTTCATTAATCAATATTTAATAATTAATACTAAATCTCTCATTAATGTCGTTAGTCATGTATTTAAGTCTAATTTCTCTTTCAAATTTATTTGAATTTTAGCACCCAATTCAAATTCTCTCATTAATTCCTTTAATTAATGATCCTCTCTCATTAATTTCATTTTGTTAGTGTAAAAACTTCAAATTTTAGCTATAGCAAGATTTGAACCTTGGTCACTTGATTTTAACAACCACAAGTAGCCACACATATTTGTTTGCTATGATCATATGTATTTTTAACAAGTATTTATTAATAAATGTTAGAATTAATTATTAAAATTTATATACTAATAAATATTAAGATTAATTATATTGTCTTTTTTTTGAAAATTGATATTCACATTTTAGTTTTTTTTGTTTTTTTTTTAACATTTTAGTAATTCCATCACTTTTCAACGGTTACTAATTCTGTCCTGATATGTCACACTTTATATATACTATTAAATTATGGTCTTTTTACATTTACATGACTTATTTACAATCATATAAAATTTATAAGTATTGTTAGTAATATATTTTTTAGGATTTATTTGAATTTTCTACTATATTTATGTGTATCTTGATTTTTCGTCCGTAGTATAGAAATTAAAAAAAATGGTAATAAATAACATTCTTTTACTTACTCATGTTCAAATCTGGCAACCAATTTTGTCTATATATTAGAGCTTCAACAACATCTAAATCAAATGCGTCTTAAATCAATCACTCTACCACCCATAGAGAATGTCAATTCTGATGTAACTGTGAAAATTGGTATTATCACATCACGTGCCATCCAAATATTGATTCAAGTTTGATTTTTGGCATTGCCCATGACCATCAAGGCATTCTTTATTCACATACTAACTATCAAAAAATCTAAATGTTTGGTCATTTTCCCCAATTCCATTTTCATCTCCAAATAAGTTATTATTGAAACCAATTACTCTAACATTTGAAGGACTATCACAACCCTCAAGTAAATTTGTGTTTTCAATTTCATATTAAAAAAAAAGGATCAAGCAATGTATATCGAACCTTATCAATATAATAAGAATCATTAGCACCATAAATTTGATTGTAATAAAACTTCAATAATCTAATCTTAAATTGTGGGTCAAGAATCAAAGCAATAGTTAATAACAAATTTCACTTCTACCAATATTTATCAAACTTTGCCATCATTCTTTCAACATGGTCACTTTGAACCCACCCAAGCAACTTCAAATGAATTTCACAAATATCTACAAAGTAAATATTTGCCGTCGAATATTTAGAACCTGAGAATTTAGTAGTGGCATCATAAAAAATCGTTAAACATTTTTTAAAAATTGTTGCCATTTCCCACTCCTCAACAATTAGACTGTTTTAAAATCAAGATTCATTTGCTACAAACGAAAAAAAAAAAAAAGCCTTCATAAGTGCTATAGTAGACTCTAACATAAGATATGTGGAGTCTCACCTATTTCCCACATCAAAGGATACACTTTTACAACCTTGCAACTTTACTTAATCCCAAATTTTTTGGAATACATGTCCTATGATTTTCAAACAATATTGCATAATGAGATTTAAAATATGACATGAGCATCAAATATGAAAAAAAAATCTCAAAACAATAAAAGCAAATGTTGATCAAGAAAATGACTCTTAATTGACCTAACAATTGCATCATTTGTAGATGCATTATCAACTGTATTGCTAGCCAACTTCTTACCAATATTCCACTCCATCAATACCCTACTAAGAGCCTTTGCACCATGAAGAATTGGAACTTGCACAAAAGAAATAATCTTATGCAATATCCATGCATTATCATTGAAATGAGCATTCAACAATAACCAATGTTTTGGTTTTTTGCTGTCCACATATATTGGTAGTGAGACCATTTACAAAAGAAAGGGCATCAAAAAATTATAAAGCTTTTCTTTCTCCTTTTGTTACATTGCCACAATACCAGCCCTAATTGTATTACAAGAAAACAATCTAAACAATAGTTAAAGATTGTTGCAAAACTTGTAAAAATATGCATGCTCAACCATATTGAAAGGGTATAAAACCTTACAGTTTTGTTTTTTCATCTATACCCTTAATCATAGTTAAAGTTTATTGACTAGAATCTTTACACTTCTTCCTAAGACAATGAAAAATGTTTCTCCAAGTAACTAGTAATATTGTTACTAGAACCACTAAATTTTTATTACAATGATTACAAGTAGCAACGACTTCACCAAATGCATTCTTGTTAATTCAAAAATCATTCCACACTGATGGAGAACCTTCAATAAAAGGTTGATTTGTTCCAAGTTGAGTCATGCTGATGCAACTTGCAATTAAATAAATAGCCCTTATATTCCAATGCATGAAATTAGATATTATATTTCTATTTAACCAATATTAATTATTGCAAAAAATAAAACAAATAAATAACAAAAAGAAATTACCAAGTGGATACCGAAGAATCGAGGCTAAATAGATAATCACCAACTTGTGCCAAGGTTGTAAGGGTCAATCAATATAATGGTCCACTTGAAAAACAACAAAAAAATATATGCATCTAATATCAATCAGTTGGGAAATAAACTGACTAACAAATCACCAAAAAAAAAATTAATTATCATATAAGAAGAGAAATAAACAATATATATTAAGGGAAGAAATCTCAAATCTGCAACACATTTTTTGAACCAAACAGAACTATTCGGTTTTTTAATTATCCGAACTGAAACCAAACCGATGCAACCGGTTAACCGGTTGGTTGGTTAACCACGGTAACCATAACCTTACCAAAGACTAACTTGAAAACTAAACTCAGCCAATTCTGTTAGACAGTTGTATGCCCTTAGCTTCAATCAGAATTATGTACATTATGAATTTATTGTAAATGAATAAAGTACACATTTGATTCATGTTCTTGTGGTGTGTTTCTGTGTAATACCCTTAAACTGGACATTTAATGAGACTTGTGTTAGTTTAGAATGTTCACAGCCATTGGGTAAGTCTGG